CCACCAAATACCCGACAGGGAGGGGCCATTTGTGCGCAAACGGGGCTGGCGGAGAGGGCATTTGGGGCCATTCGGCCCCCCCAGGGGAGGGCATTTGGGGCCATTGGGCTTCGAGGGGGAGGCGCATTTGGGCGCAATCGGGGCCGGCAGGGGAGTGGTTTAGGGGATGATCAGGCTGGCAGGCAGAAGTGGTTAGGGGCAATCAGGCAGGCAGGCAGGCGAGCAGTTATGAGCCAGCAGTCCCAGATTGTGAGTTGGACATCCCCAAGGGGTCCCAGATTGAAGTGGGTGCAGGCTGGGCTGAGGGACACCAACCCACCCATGCACGAATTTAGTGCACCGGGCCTCTAGTACATATATAAAAAGATGGTGAATGTCACTAATCATAAGAGAAATGCAGATTAAAACCACAATCAGATATCATCTCACATCTGTCAGAATGGCTGCCATCAATAAATAAACAGGTGTGGGCGAGGATGTGGAGAAAGGGAACCCTCATGCATTATTGGTGGGATTTCAAATTGGTGGAGCTACTATGGAAAACAGTACAGAGGTTCCTCAAAAAATTAAAGTAGAACTACCATATGACTCAGAAAATCCACTTCTGGGTATTTATCCAAAGGAATTCAAAACACTACTTTAAAAAGATATATGCACCCCTATGTTCATTGTAGCACTATTTACAATAGCCAAAATGTTCATCAATAGATAAAGATATAATACACACACACACACACACACACATTAGAGGCCCAGTGTACAAAAATTTGTGCACTCGGGGGGGGGGGGGGAGTCCCCTCAGCCCAGCTTGTACCCTCTCGCAGTCTGGGACCCCTCGGGGGATGACCACCTGCTGGCTTAGGCAGCCCGGGAGCCCTCGGGGGATGTCCACTTGCCAGCAGGGAGCAGGCCTAAGCTGCAGTCGGACATCCTTAGTGCTGCTGAGTAGGCGGGAGAGGCTCCCACCACCACGGATGTACTGGCAGCCATCAGCCTGGCTTGTGGCTGAGCAGAGCTCCCCCTGTGGGAGTGCACTGACCACCAGGGGGCAGCTCCTGCATTGAACGTCTGCCCCCTGGTGATCAGTGTGTGTCATAGTGACCAGTCATTCCCAGTCTTTCTGCTGTTAGAGTCAATTTGCATATTACCCTTTTATTATATAGGATAGAGGCCTGGTGCATGGGTAGGGTAGGGGCTGGCTGGTATGCCCTGAAGGGTGTCCTGGGTCAGGGAGGGGGTCCCGCTGGGGTGCCTGGCCAGCCTGGGTGAGGGGCTGATGGCTGTTTGGAGGCTGGCCAAGCCCCCCAGTGGGGACCCTCACCCCATGAGGGTGTGGCCAGTCTGGGTGAGGGGCTGATGGCTGTTTGCAGGCTGGCCACAACCCCTTCAGGCTGGGGGTCCCTACTGGGGTGCCTGGCCAGCCTGGGTGAGGGGCTGATGGCTGTTTGCAGGCTGGCTATAGCCCCTTCAGGGTAGGGGTCCCCCCTGGGGTGCCTGGCCAGCCTGGGTGAGGGGCTGATGGCTGTTTGCAGGCTGGCCAAGCCCCCCAGTGGGGACCCTCACCCCATGAGGGTGTGGCCAGCCTGGGTGAGGGGCTGATGGCAGTTTGCAGGCTGGCCACAACCCCTTCAGGCTAGGGGTCCCTACTGGGGTGCCTGGCCAGCCTTGGTGAGGGGCTGATGGCTGTTTGCATGCTGGCCACAGCCCCCAGCCACCCAAGCTCCCAGTGGAGCCTGGCTGGAAGCAGGTATCTGGGATTTATTTATCTTCTATAATTGAAACTTTGTTGCCATGAACAGAGGCCACAGCTGGCTCAGGGCAGGTGGGAAGCTTGGCTTCCTCCATCGCCCGGGCAACCAAGCCTCCTGATTGCTCCAGCTCCGTGGCTGCCGGCTGTCATCTTGGTTGGGTTAATTTGCATATAGTTGCTCTGATTGGCTGGTGGGCATGGCTTAGGGCATAGTGAAGGTACAGTCAATTAGCATCTTTGTCTTTTATTAGTGTAGATATATATATACATACACACACATATATATACATATATCAAAATATTGCTCCATCAAAATATGTATGTGTTTGTATATATATGTGAATATATACATATATGTGTGTGTGTGTGTACGTAGGTATATATTACATATATCTATATATTCATATATATACACTATCAGCCATAATAAAAAAGAATGAAATCTTGCCACTTGCAACAACATAGATGGAATTACAGAGTATTATGCTAAGTAAAATATGTTAGAGAAAGAAAAATACCATATGATTTCACTCACATGTAAAATAAAAAATAAATAAAAAAATAAATGAACAAACATAACAAACAAATAGATACTGAGAAAAAACTGATCGTTGCCAGATGGGAAAGGAATTAAGGATTGGGTGAAGGGATTAACATGTACAAGTTGCCAGTTATACAAACAGTAACCAGGAGGTGAAGTATAGCATAGGAGTATAGTCAATAATCTTACTAATAAAAGCCTAAGTAATCTTCATGCCGTGATGCCCTCACGCCATCACAAAATGACTGTGTGCACAGTGGGCATGTGCAGGTGGGCGGGGCTGGGCTTGATGCTGTGTGCAAGGCATGGAGCCTGCCTGGGAGTTCCGCCTTCTCCCGGCTCTGCGTGGCAAGGCCTGCCTGGGGGTCCCGCCTCCCCCAGCTCCACACAGTGAGGCCTGCCTGGGAGTCCTGCCTCTGCGAGGAAAGGCCTGCCTGGGGGTCCAGCAAGGACTGCCTGGGGGTCCCGCCTCCATGCGGCAAGGCCTGCCTGGGAGTACCATCTCCTCCCAGCTCTGCGCGGTGAAGCCTGCCTGGGGGTCCTGGGGGTCCGGCCTACCTCTTTGGGGCAATCCATTGAGGAGCCCTGGATGGGTGGGAGGGGCCTACCTCTTTGGGGCAATTGATCGTGGGTCTCCCGCACTGTGACAGGACACAGGCCAGGCTGAGGGACGCCCCCCCACCCAAGTGCACGAATTTTGTGCACTTGGCCTCTAGTATTTTAATAACTATGGATGATGTCAGATGGATACTAGACTTATCCAGATGATGACACCATAAGTTACATAAATGTCTAATCACTATGTTATAAACCTGAAACTAATATAGCATGCCAACTGTAACTGATAAATAAATAAAATTTAAATAATAATAACCAATGTTTTGAGCACTATGTGCCATGCATATAGTTCTAAATACATTTCCTACATTAACTCATTTGACCCTCAAAATAATCTGATGAGACAATCATAGAAAAGCTTCTAGGATGGAAGACCACCCTATTGCTTCCCTCCCATATTTGCAGTAAATACCACACTACTAACCTTTACTAAGCATTTGCTGTATGTATTTTGAGGAAAAAAACAGGCAACATTTATGACATAAACTGGAAAAGCACTGGGTTTGGAATAAGTATATATAATGACTGTGTGATGTTAAATTAAATTAGTCAAACATTCTAAACCTCAGATTTTTCATCATGTCGCATGGGCATAAAAATACCATCTCATAGAATTGTTGTGAAAATTCAGTTTTCTAATCTTATGTGAAAGTGCTTGGTGAACTACAAAATACAATGCTAATTTTAACCAACATTTCCACATTGAGTGTCCACCATGTGTCAATTACCATGGCGAGCGCTGGGCTATAAGATATTTGACAAAGCATGAGTCTTGCCCTAAAAAAGCCCATAATTTGGTACCACACTATTAAGTACTTAATATTCCAATAATTGTTCATGTGAAACTTTGTCTTTCTAAGCCACCTGAGGAGAGAGTTCTGGTAATTATTTTCTAATGCCCCATGGTATAAGGCACACAATAGGCCCCAAAGTAGATGCTGACTGACTGATCATTTAGGTGAAAATCTAATAAATTATGCTTTCAATGAAATACTCACAGTCACTTTTGTGACTTCTAAAATTACTTTCAAACTTAAAAATTGAGTCAATAAATATTATAATTATGTATAACAACATTACTTTTTATTTACTTCTTAAAGTACGTAAAATATGCTCCTTACCTAAGTGCAGAGAACGTGAATCCTTTCAAACCATCTTTGCACCTACAACAACAAAAATGTGCAATAATTAAAAATACATGTTTTGAGATATAAAGTAGCATATTAATTAGCTATTAAAATTTTTCTGAAAAATAATTATTTTTTTAAAGGTGAAACTTTTAGGCTGATAATCAGAGCAGTACAAGTGGTCAAAACAAACTATAGTGAAATTATCTTACATAAAATGATGTTTTCCTACATCATATTGCCATAACTTAAGGCTCAACTCTGAGATTTTCAAGTTGAAGAGAGATTTAAGCAAATCTTCCCAGGGCTCCATGTGGACTTGAAATGAAGGTTGGGAGCGGAACATTCTTCATTCTACCCAATCCATAGGGGAGCAATTTGTTTTGAAGTAAAAGGACACATACACCTGCTGGGTATTATGCAAAGGTCAGTTCAAGGTCCTGACTTCTCCCTACTTATTAATGCAATGAATGCAGAGCAATGCAGAGTTGGCAGGCGCGTGCACACACACACACACACACACACACACACACACACACACACACAAAGCTTCAAGTTTAGTTCAATAGTTTTAACTTCTGAGTAAGCCCACTCATATCACAGAGCATGGGGAACAGGGTAGGGGTGTGGGGAGAGCACAGAGCGAGGATTCCAAATAATATTTCATGAGTACTTCCTATTGCTGGGCATTGTTTTGGGCCTTTTTATGTGTTGTTTCATTTCATTATATCACAACTGTATGAATAGTCGTTTCTTTATTCCATAGCTGTGCAGAGGGCCCCCAAAATGTAGCAACTTCCCATATGTTACAAAATAAATAGTAGTCAGAATTCTGGGGGGAGAAATGTTCATCTAACTTAAAAGTCATACCTCCTCCTGAAAAAGTGTATTCCTTTTAATTAAGAGAGACTCAAACCACATGACAATTAAGAAAAGAAAAAAAAAGACGGTCAGATCTGCAAAAACTATTTTAACAAAATTTAAAAATGAGGACATTATTTTGCTTTATAGTTATGATCAAGTTACTAAAGAATCTTTGGGTATCTAGTATCAAAATCCCTTGGAGAAACTATAAAGATTGGTGATATAATAATGTTGTAATGTATATTAATATGACCCTAGCTATTCTTGGACAAAAAAATACAACCTCAAGTCTAATTGGGCAATTCTCTCTGTATACCTTTTATATAACAAGTCACAAAGAAAATGTACAAAAACATAAGAAATCTATCTTACAATTTTAGATAAGTACAGTTTTTTGGAGAGCATATAAAATCTCAGAAAAGAATTTCATCCGTGTGCACAGAGATGTTTTAAAACACTTAAGAATTCATTTCAATTAAGCAACATAATTTACTCTGTGGTCATGTTAACAGTGAGAAATGTAACCACAGAATTTAGCTAACACACTGCATAATTACCTACAGAATGAAGGTAAAGGCAAAAGAATTTATATGTTAAGCTAAAAATAGTGCATGGGAAAACTGTAGCATTAAAAATCTTAAACTTAAAAATAAATCTTAAACTTATCTTCTTCCATCTGAAGAAAGTGTTTCTCAGTAATTTAAAACCCATAATTGAGCAATTTCTAGATAGGTATGGTCTGAGGGGGTCTACTGACTGGAAAACAGAAAGCAGCAGATTGATTAAAAGATTATATACAACTGGGAACAAATTGCAGCTTTAGTGTGTTATTGTTAAAAGATAGCCATTTGTCTTTGTGCAGTGCTGAATAGATAAAGGATTCTGACAACTTGGTCTAGTCAGGATGGCATATTGTGACCTTCAACAATAAATCTAATTGCAGACCAAACATCAAAAAGTAGCTTTCAAATATAAAAGGGCATATACAAATGAATTTGCAATTTCATTATGATGGAAGTTGGGTTCTTTCAGCTGAACCCTGTGGGAAGCACTTCATATTGATAAAGTCTTAGCCTGGATTCCAAAGGGGCTATTCTTTTTTCCATTCATGTGTGTAAGGTCTGTTAATGTAATTGAGGGTCAGATGCCGATGTCAAAAGAACAAAAAAGCAATTATTCCCATAAGAAGAATCTTTAAAACAGTAATACTGCCCTGAATTTTGACACCAAGTATTGTTTGAGCCTTAACCTAACTGTGAAACACTATTATACTCTGTGTTAAATGTAAAAAGTTTATCAACATAAAGATTTCTACAAAGCAGACCTCATTAGAAGGTTCCTCACTGTTCCATGGGTTTGGTTATTATAATGTAAATTAAATCGCAATGTCCATTCCTGTATGGAGGCTCACTGATTTATTCAACAAATATTGACTGAGTACCTACTATGTGTAAGCACTGGTTTCGGTTCTAAGGATGTAACAGTGAACAATAGAATCCCTCCTTTCAAAAGGCTGACATTCTAGGTTGGGGAGAGATATCATTAAAAAAGTAAATATGTCATGTGATGATCATTGCTATGGCAGAAAGAAAAGCAGAATAAGGGGAGAAACAGTGATGGAGTCAGGCCTTATTTTTGTACATAGTGTGGTCAGAAAGGGCCTCTCTGAGAAGGTGGAATTTGGTAATTTGATCAGAAACCTTACTGAATTGAGGGAAGAGCATTTCAGTTTGAAGGAAGAGCAAGTACATAGCCCTTGATGAGGAGTCTGCGTAGCAGGTAAGGAGAACAAGGCTACTGCAGCTGGAGCAGAGGAGGAGAGGGAAACAGTGGTGGGAAATGAGGTCACAGTAATAGCTATGGAGGGAGAGAGTGGTCTACAATTCTTATAAGGCCCTCTAGGCACGTTAAGAACCTTGAAAGGTTCTCAGCAGAGGAGTGACAAGATGTGTTTTAAATTTGAAGATAATCATTGGCTGCTGGTTGGGAAATAGGAGACAGGAGGGCACTGTTAGAAGCAAGGAGGCTAATTCCCAGGGAAAAGGTGTGGCTTGTCTAGATCACAGTGGTAGAGGTGGAGAGAAGTGGTAAGATTCTGGATGTATATCAAAAGCAAAATTGGTGAAATTTCTTGACAGTTTCAATGTGGGTTATGAACAAAAGAGGGAATTTACAAATTATTGAAATACTTCCAGTTTGAGCAAATTGGAAAGATAAAAATGTCCATGTACTGAAGTGAGAAAGACTATGGGAGAAATAGGTTTCAAGAGAAAATCAAAGATTTGTTTTAGACATGTTAAGTTTGAGGTGCATATTAGCTATAAATGGAAATGTTAAGGAAGCAAGGAGCTGGCTATACAGGTTTGGATTCAAAAATGAATGAAGTCTGATTCATATATAAGTAATACTTAAATCCATGGGACTGGATACAATCAATAAGTGTCAATAGAGAAAATATCCAAAGACTGAGTATATTTAATTCCTCCATAATTCGCAGTGCAGAAAATCTCTTCTATGAAAAAAAAATTCTTCTCCTAATAAACTCACTCATTTTTATTTTTCAGTGTACATAAATATAATGTAATTAATTCATGTATACATAGACCTTTCTACTAAAGTTAGTCTATTCAAATGACAAATAAGTAAGTAGTATGATTAAATCCATAGTTACTGAATCTCTCTACATTTGCAAAGTTCTCTGCTATGTATGACATAAAAACAAAGCCAGGGAAGAAGAGGAGGAAAAAGAATTTGTAGCATTACATCAAACAACTTAGTTGATACACAACTAATCATAGAGGTTCAAGTTAGAATTTAAGACTATATACAAGAAAGTACAAAGTTTAATATTATTGTTATTAAAATAATATTATTGGTGAAATGCCAGTGGGGGAAAACCCACAAAAACACAATAATTTTTCAGTGAGAAGTATTGTAAATGATAGTAAAAAAAACAATTTTCCCCCCAAATTTTTTATCTTGCTTAATTTCCATGAAATTACTTCCATGAGTTACTATTAGCTTTACAACAGCATTGTACCAGCAGATGTCGCTAGTAAACCACTTTTGGAACAATGTGTAGCTCTTTGATGTGATTTTTATATCAAACATTTTGTTGTATGTTTTCCTTTAAAAATACATCTTTAGGTATTCAAAATGTTTCTCATCTTAGTTAAATTGCATTAAATTCTCCCAAGTAAATATGGTAATATTAAACTTTAAATGATGGGTGATTCCTATTCTATAGGGGAGCAGAACTTGCCACACCAAAACATGCCTTTTTAGAATACTGATTTTTTTTAAGTTAAGGTAACACTGGTTAATAATATTATATAAATTTAATGTGTACAACATTATAACCTCATATCTGTATATTCTGCTGTATGCTTACCATCAAAAGTCTAGTTTCCTTCCATTACCATATATTTGACCCCCTTTACCCAATTCACCCTTCCCGCTTCACCATTCCCTTCCCCTATGGTAGCCACCATTCTGGGTCTCTATCTAAGAGTTTGTTTTGGATTGTTTCTTGTTTTATATTCCACGTATGAGTGAAAGCATACAGTTATAGAAATTTTCACAAGGATATAACTCAAATAGTTTTCAGTATTACTCTATATTTATACATCATTTTGAATTTTTTAAAGGTACCATTAATATATTATTTGTGTAGTTTAATTCAAAACATCCATACCTAAACATTTAAGAACAGATTAAACAGTATAAAAGGTATCATCTCCATTTCATTAACACAATGGCAGAGATGTAAATCTCAAATTAGTCAACTTTACAAATTAACACTGATGTAAAAGTTATGCTAGAAGGCAAAAAATTGCTAACTAAAATAAATGGCTTACACTAGAATTTTCTGAAACTATGATCCCAATAAACACGGGTAATTAGGTCATTACAATGATAAAAACATTCATTAAGTATCAATTTCAGAGTTCTTTTGTCCCTTTTTACTCACTGAGTTGGTTAGAAGGAAACTCAAATACTGGTTAAATATTACATCATCTATCTTTCTTCACTTAACAATCATTTATTGAGCATCTAACATACAGATGATGCTGTTTTGCTGATCACTTCAGAAATGCAAAGATAAGTTATATACAACATCTGACCATGAAAAAGGGAGTCTGTAAAGTTATCTGTATGTTTGCCAAATAAGTGAA